ACACCCAGCGCATTAGAAGAATTTTTTCAAATGGCTGCATCACTGAACACTTTTATAGGCCTTATCTGATTTATGGAAAAGATTTTAAAGTGATGTTATTCCTTCAAGGCGGCATCTCGAAAGGATAAAAGGATGCCTAGCCGGATTGCCCGGCGCCAGACCAGCCCTTTGTCGCTCTGCTGTCCCACCCTTCGAAATTTTCAGGAATGTCATGGTGTAAACTGTCAACAAAATATTTATCAAACAAGTACAGTCTATTATAGCTGAAAAATATTATCGCTTATGAACCATGTGGCTATTAATTAGCAGTAAATTAGAGTATTTTAAGGGCAGGGATCACGATGGAGGCGTTGTGGTTCTGGTGACGTCACTAGACGTCACTATTAGAGAGGCGTCACCAGGCAGTTCCGCCCACCCTGGTGCGCTGAGGGGCCTAGTCCACCAATGACGCTCTATGACGTCATCAAAACCGCACCGCCCTCCAGCCATTGTGAATCACTGCCTCTAAAAGAGCACTGATCATGAGTACATTCAGACTAAATGATAATACGGTACGGATATGCAGTGGGAATGTGAAAGCGAGAATCAGGTAGGTGAAGGGAAATATCACTTTCACGGCCAAATCGACACAAAAAAAGAGATTTCAATGAAAATTTGTGGTTAGAAAATGTTCACGAAACACATTATGGACTTATTCAATACCCGTGTGACACTAGCTCGATATGTGAAATGTCCTGATTATGTGTGTAGTAGTAAATATTGAATAATACAGTATAGTAAATTTAATGCCTATCCCATTAAAAACTACAGGACAGGTAGGACTAGATTCTAGGCAGCAGAGTTATTTTCCACAGCATTTGACCCGTTGGTCGGCTTTTCCTCCAGAAGCTCCTGTTTCGGTTCCTCGCAGATGACAGAGTCCCATGGCTGGACGTCAGCTGAAAACAGTGAATCGTGGTCTGTGAAAATGCGCTGCCGTCGTGCAACAACGCCAAATGTCACATGAACCGCGACGCGGCGCGGCACGCGTCGCGGCTTATGTGACGTTATGTTCAGATCGAAACAACTGTTCACATAAAAATTACCTGAACCGGATATTTGGAAGAAAAGGCCGGTTATCATGCAGATCACCACAATAGTGAGGAATACAATCTGCCATTCCTCAAGAATACCCTAAAATTTGAAAGCCTTGCCAATTTCGTAATATTTTGGACACAAAATAGGTCAAAGTGGAGTGAGTAGGATTTTTGGTAGTCACTCTACGTCATCGTCGATCCTTCACCTTTCACGATCTTGTGGTGCGTTCAGCTCATTTGCAAATCGGTGCAATGGGATGTGGGTCAGGAGATCCAGATTGCGGCACCGCACTAGAGATGGGATTGCGCGCACGCCATTTGCTCAGGAAAATACCGTGCCTTATAGGATGGGCATTCATCCACATTTAAGTGTTTGAGGTTTAGGTCCGGATGGAAGATT